GTCCCCTGGGGCATGACCTTTGTATCTGTGGTGGGTGACGAGTTTGTATATAAACCATTTTGGTGTCATTTAAAACAACTACAGCTTTGAAAATACCGAAAATACATTGAAACGTTAGAAACAGATGGTGGTGTCCTTGGAGCACCTCCATGGAAGTGCTCTTTTTTAAAAACATTGATTTAGCCTGTGTGGCTCAGTCGGTTAAGCATCTGACTTCAGCTCTGGTCATGATCTTACGGTCTGTGAGTTCAAGCTCCGCGTCGGGCTCTGTGCTGACAGCTAGCTCAGAGCCTGGAGCCTGCTTTGGATTCTGTGTCCTCTTCTCTCTCTGTCCCTCTCCCACGCATGCTGTATCTCTCTCAAAAGTAAATGAAATTTTAAAAAATACAAATAAAAACATTGATCTAATATTGACTGATTCATGTTGGGGAAAATGTTTGGTTTCCTGGAAATTTCACTTTCTCACTGTGGAATACACAGATAAAGTTGGGGACAAGTAGGTGAGATGAGAAAAATACCACAGTGAGAAAGTGAGTTTGTGTACACAGAGAACAGAGTACTGTTGAGTAGAAGTGGGGAAGTGACCTCTTCAGGCCGGGAAATTAGGGAAGGCTTCATGGAAGAGAAGACATTTATCTGATGAGGCTTTTGAGGATATTTAGGTCTTGGATATGAGAATAACTAGGGAGAGGAAATGATGTTCTAGTGCACTTCACCATTTTGGAGAGTATGATTTTAGACAAAAAGTAATGTAGATGTCACTCTTCTCTTAAACAGATAACCTTCAGTAGTAAATTAGCTCTATCTGCATTTAAAAATAGAATCCATTCATGATAAGGTGAAAAAGGGATCATCTTCATAGATTTACACATGCCTGAGGTTTCCTTCACAGTTATTACTGTCAGACAGTGATTCATTTGTTTAGATTCAGACCTTTCCAGTGATACTTTGCCCAACTTGGCTGCCCCTATAATGCCTCCATGCATCATAAATTTACAATGAACCTGGCCTCTGGAAGAATTCTAGCCATTCATTCATCCATTTATTCACCCACGCTGGTATACTGAGCAGCTATTTACGCATAGGTCTTGGAGAGTTCTAGGCACCCAGCAGTGAACAAGTCACCACTGGACTGGTGAATTGGATGCCTGGAAACCACCTAAAGTTCTTATCGTCAAACTGCATTTAAAAAGATAACAATGCAACTTTGCCCACAAACCGATAACAGCATAAAATGTACACATCACAGAGCTTTTACATTTTAACAAGGATCAAAGCTTCGCCTCAAACTACTTCTAATCAGGCGACATGCGAGGGGAATTGTGGTTTGAGCCTTGGGACTTTTCCAGTTTATATGGCTTTTTGAGGCAGCAAGGTTGGTACTGTCTTATCTGTACTTTAAGGTGAAAACCGGCTCTAATAATATTCCTCTCAGGAAAGTAGCCTAAAGACAACTCTGCAGCAGGAGGGAGATCAATGAGATAGACCATAATGGCAAAGAGCCCTTTCTTGAGGGGCAGGATTGCAGAACACAGGGAGAGGGAGAGTAGCAAAGTGGCAGGAGCACAGAGCCCGCGGGTGCATGGCCCGGCTCTTGGTCGTTGGGTGAGTCACCGAACCCCTCTGTGCATCTGTAAATATGGATGATAATGGTAATAGTGCCCACCTCAAAGGATTGCTGAGGGTCAAATAAGTTAATGGAGCATTTAGAATTGTGCCTGCCGTACAGTAAGCAGTAGGTTAAATTAGCTATTCTTTTTTTCAGCTATGCATTTTTCCAGTTTGCCCCTTTTCTGAGAACATAGAATGGCTATAGAGGAAGAGTGCATAAAGAGATGATGAGTAATTCCTTCTCTCCCCTCTTCACACCCACCCCCCTCCTGCTTCACAGACCCCAGAGTTAACTTGTTTTGGAAGGCTGTAACATCGTATTTGAATGTATGACCTTGAAATTTTCTGATTAAGTAGTTCTGGGCAAAGCTCTAATGGTTGGAAAATAAATCAGGCCTCCCACACATACCTGCTCAGCCAAGAATTTGTTTGCCCCAGGAACCGTGGGTGGGCGGGAGTGGAAGCAAGTCCACACCCAGGCTTATGTGAACTCTGTGTTCCTGCTGGAGACGGGGGTCATCCTTCCCCCTCTGCTGACCAGAGCTTCCTGGTCATTTCTTCTGAACCTCAGTTGAAGAAACAGAGAAACAAATATTTTCCTTTCTCATTTTCTCTTTCCCCATCTCCAAGGAAACACTCCCTCCTCCTCCCTCCCCCCCACTTCCCTGCTTGTGCGTTTTCTCTAAAGTTTGGCTTTGTATTTGCCCCCAGGTCTTGCATTTGTGCAGGTTCTCCCAAGCCCAGGAAGGCAGCATACCATGTCTGACGATGCACTGTAAGGGTCCCTGCATGGTTCCCCAGTTTCCGGGTCTGCAGCAGGGCCCTCCCAGAAGTGCCCTGGAAATTTCTGTTGGCGCTTGCAGCCAGGGATAGAGAACCCCTCCCTGCCTTTGCACTGGGACGTATCACAGGTGCTCTTGCCTGCCAGGAGTGTCTGGGGGACACCTGCTGTCTGCGTCCTGAGGAGACGGGTGAGGGTGGCTCCTGGGAAATGTGCCACGTTGGGACATGTGGTTTGTGTGACCCTCAGGTATTGGTTCCTAGCTTGTTTTATTTTTTTTTGACCCATTGTCCTAGTGAAGTTCCCTTGTTAGAGCAGGTATGCTCTCTCTCTGAGTATGAGAACGGGTGTGTACCAGGGCCCCTCCTGTGGGAGGCAGTCTGGGATGAGGTGGAAGGAGGGCTTCTCAGGCTTGGGTAAAGCTCTTTGATCAGGGCTGAGCTTAGAAAGGCACGTGACCTTTCAGCCTATGTGATAACACCTCGCCCATCAGGTGAATGGGAAACGTGGAGAGCTCCCAGGGATGAGTCCTTCCTTTTCCTCCATTTCCTTCTCAGATGATGGAGTGCAGGCTTCTTGTAGGGATAGGTAGGTACAGGGTCAGTTTTTTTTCTAATAACCTAACCGGCTTCAACATGGGGGACTGGGATTGGGGGCTTCTGCCTGTAGTTAGACTCCAGATGAGCCCACCTAAGGAGAAGCATCCTTTTCCCTGGTGGCTGGCTGAGGACTGGCAGAAGCAAGTCCTTTTGAATTTTACCCCTTTATATCCCCTCTGGTTTGCTCAAGTGTAAGGAAGAACCGGCAAAATGAAAAATGAAAAATTGTTTTGGAAATTACACCCTATCTACAAACAGCCGCAGATCAAGAGTAACCACCAGACATCCTGTCGCACACGCCGACCTGTCGGGGGTTGCTGCGTTCAGGGCTCCGCCGCGGCATCGGACTTGAAACAGGTCCACGTTCTGATCAGTCAGCACAGGCCACCTCTTAACTGCCGCTGTACAACCTGTTGGATCAAAAGTCAGCTTGGTCATCGGCATCTGGCCAGTGTGCTGTGCTATCTGCTCCTTTCCGTTTTACAGATCTAGGATACTTTTTGTTTTAAAGAGATGCTGAGAGAAGTTTATCCGATTGTGTGACATGATGTGAGGCCGGAAGACTTCTGCAAACATCTCTGAAATATCTATTTTAAAGCTGTTTTTTAAGCCTCACAAAGTGAGCGAAAGACCTTCGCTAACTCCTAGACTCTAACGTTCTCATTATGGAGAAGGCCCACCGTGCTTTGCGCTGGAATAAGGAAAGGGGGCGGCAGTTGCCATGCAAATGGCCCCACCACGCGCTAGGAGGAGGCGGAAGTGGCTTCCTCAGGCCTTGTCTCAGAGCCGATTGGATTGTCTGTGTGGCACCCTAGAGCCCAGGGCAGCCCCACAGGAAACAGGGACTACAGGCTGAAGGCTGTTGGGGAGGTGAGGGTATATATTGTTGATAGTTCTGTGTGAGCAGGAAGCGTTGAGAGGGGCCACCAGTGCCCCGGGCCAGGCTTTGTGTGACAGTTCTCTGGTTTCAGGTGTGGGTTTACCTGTCGTCATCTCTTCTTTGAGAAAGGTGTGATGAGGTCTATGGAAATTCTCCCAAATAATAATTATTGTTATTAGCAATGGTTCCATGGTTGCCCGAACTATTTACCTGTCTGTCCCTCACCTGAGAAGTCCCAGTCAGAATGGCCCTTCATCAGAGTGACCACAGAGCACGTACTTGTCATGATTTGAGTATAGCCAGCGGTCGGATAAGCAGATTAACCAGGGTGAAGATTCTTAAGAAAAGGGTAAGAGGTGAAATGTAATTTCCTTTATTTGTGTTAATTAGTAATTAAGGTAAAGGCTTGCATGAATTCAGGAAAGTTTGGTGACACCGTTTGCTTTGTGGTATACAGAGTTTTAGCACAAAGGCTCATAAATATTTTTTAATGTTTATTTATTTTTGAGAGAGAGAGGGAGAAGGAAGTGGGGGAGGGGCAGAGAGAGATGAGACAGAATCCAAAGCTGGCTCCAGGCTCTGAGCTGTTAGCACAGAGTGTTAAGGCAGGGCTCGAACCCACAAACCATGAGATCATTAACTGACTGAGCCATCCAGGAGCCCCTAAAGGCTCATAAATACAGAGTATTGCCAAGGTGTTTTGCCAGTAGTGGCTTCTATACCTGCTTTAATGATACAAACTTACTCCTGACTTCAGGGAAATGCCATGGGCATGTTTTTTCCAAGCTTCCCAGTAATTATGAAAGATTGTTTCTTATGTACAAATTCTTGGGCAAAACTATTTGTATTATTAAATAAGAAATATATATGGGTATTTATATGCAGAAGCAAAAGCAACATTTTGGTACTGTTTCTAAACAATTATTAGATTAAGCAATAATTAGATGAAAATATGCATGAAATGACACTCCTTAATGCATGTTGCAGTAATTTCTCTCTACATAGGATAGGTTCATTCAGACTGCCTTCCCTCTCAGTGTCAGAAGTCCCTCTATGATAAACGTCACAGATAATCATCTAGGCATCAGATTCTTTTTCTTCACTTCCCTCCCATTCCCTCCCTCCCTCCGTCCCTCCACTGGACTCAGGTCACTGTGGTCGGCACTGCAGAGACATAGGTAAGTAGCCAGGATGCGGCCCTTGGAGGCCTCACGGTAGAGAATGGGAACAGCAGAGTGAGCTTGCACGGGGAGGAGGTGTGTGACGTTCTCTGGATAAGGGGCAGGCTCTGCACCTGCTGTCTGTCAGAAGAGAGACGGCACAGGACTCACAGAGGTTACATGGAAGCTGGGATTTCCAGTCCAAAGAGGTGGCCTAGAAACGAAGCACTTGGGATGCACAGGGTCGCGAAACCGTGTTTGGGGACCGGCACACAGCCTGGCTCAGTTGTGACGCATGACATGGGGGCGTGGCAGGGTGAGGCGAGCTCAGTGACTTTGGGAGCTCACTCCCTGGCAAACAACAACAACAACAAAACAAAAAAGGTTCCATGACTGTGGAAGTGTATTGTGTTAGAAAGTTTTACCTCCTATTGTGCCAAGTTCGTCCCCTTTTCTGTTGTACCGTTGGGTTCAAGCCTCGGGAACCAGCACAGAATGAACCCTGTCTGCTCTTTGCCACATGCCTTTCTGTGTAGGTGATGTTTCGCTTCTTTAAATCTTGCCCCAAGCCTTGTCGCCTTTCATGTATCCTTTTACATCGGTTTTGGTTGGGGCACCTGGATGGCTCAGTCAGTTAAGTGTCCGACTGTTGGTTTCAGCTCAGGTCATGATCTCACAGTTCATGAGTTTGAGCCCCACATTGGGCTCTGTGCTGACAGTGGGGAACCTGCTTGGGATTCTCTCTCTCCCTATTTCTCTGCCCCTCCCCTGCTTGTGCGCACTCACTCTCTCTCTCTCCCTCTCTCTCTCTCAAAATAAATAAATAAAAAACTTAAAAGACATATAAATAGGTTTTGGCTAATAGTTTATTTCTTTAATATAAGCCAGCGGTAATTCTGGTTGATTCAGAGCCTGCGAACTAGTGATTGCGATCTCCTGCATTGGTCTCCTACATCTGCCGCTACACCCTCTTGTCATTTGGCACTTTTCTGCCGGGTTCCTCCCCCTGTGGTTGTGCAGGATCCCAGAGAGGGGGCACGCAGGGGTTTGGGTCCGGCCTCTGCTCTGCGTCAGTACGGTCTCCTCTTTCCAGCACCTGCTCTCCTTTGGGGCATCTTAGGGCTCCAGAGAAACAGCAAGCAGGCCTTTCGCACACATGTCCTGGGGATCTTTTTTCCCCCCAGTCTTACCACTTTTATCTTATACTTTAGAAGCAAACTAACAAATACGTACCTGTGAAATGGTAATAAAAATTATTGAAGATGAACAAAAATACTAGCGCAGGGCTGAGGGTCGCGAGAGGTATGCTGTATGCTGTAGCTCAGGTTACATTTTCACATGAATTATCTGCGATTCGAAAATATCAGCTGTATTCCGAAGGAGAGATTTGGCCATGTGTGTGGTAGGGGACCCATCTGCTTGACCGTCTAGGGGTTGGGTCCAAAGAAGGGCTCTCCAGGGCTCACGGTTGATAGAAACCAGTAGGGCCGGTACCTGAAGCAATCAGTTGGCCACCCGCTTTCCCTCTTGATAAACGTGTGCTTTCCCGGCCTTCTCAGCCAGCACCACATTGTCTGTGGATTAGCCTCTTTACAAAAAGAGGAGGACCTGGAACATGTTGAGTAATTTTGGCTCTTTCACACCCTCACCTCCTGCCGAAGCTGGGAGCTTACCTAAGCAGTGGTCCGTTGTGGGGACCATTCTTCCCCATGGGGAGGGGATGAGTGAAGAAGAGGGAGAAGAGAAGGAGAACCTTAAGTGGTTGGTCACGTGGGAATTTCAGATCGAATGGGCTAGCCCAGGAGGTCCCAGGAAAGACAGTTGCTGGAGCTGCATTATCCTATACCACGGAGGGCAGATGCTTGCTTTCAACGAGAGTGAAACAGTCTTAAATGCCAGTGTCTCAGTCTCTATCGTTGGTGCGTATAAAGGGAATAGGAGGGAGAGGGGAAGGACGATAACCGCTCTACCACTGGGTACCCAGATTGTGCTCCACCCACCAGCAGCCTCAGCTTCACCCAAGAGCCTGTTAGAAATGCCAGCCCACAGGTACCAAGTCAGAACCTGCATTTTAACTGACCCCCGGCAATTCCTGGGTACCTTGAAGTTTAAAAAAACAACAACCCTTGGCTTTAGGGGGCAGTGACCGTAATTGATTGACAGACCACGAGCAAGGTCCCTGTCCTAGCACACTTTGAGAAATGCTACACAAATGAGGCATGTCAACTGTCGGTATTAAATGCTGACAATCAAAGTTTAATTTTGTTTGCAGTTAGAGAGAGGCCTGCTGATCCTGTTTGACTAAACAGCAGAGCTCTGTTTAGGGAAGGACAGGGGTTTGTTTATGACACAGATGACTGCCCCAGGCTTGATGATAGCCATTGCAGAGCTGCTTCCCTGCCCTGGGGCCATGGGTTTCCATGACAACAGTGAAGCCATGCTCTCCCCCCCATCCCTGCCCCCAACATTAACCATAGAGTGGAGAATAAAGAGTACTTAATTTTTTTTTTTTAAAGAAGTCACCATGTCCAGTTTTTACTTTACATCAGGTAATCTTCATGGGTTTCTTGGGGAGAAAATTTGCAAAAAAGAGTGTGGCTTCTTTAGTGATGTGCCCAGCATTTTTTCCCCTTTTTTCCCCAGAAAAATTTTTTAATGTTTTATTATTTCTGAGAGAGAGAGAGACAGCGTGAGCAAGGGAAGGTCAGAGAGAGAGGGAGATACAGAATCTGAAACAGGCCCGATGCAGGGCTCAAACCCACAAACCATGAGATCACGACCTGAGCCAAAGTCGGACACTTAACCGACTGAGCCACCCAGGCGCCCCTTTTTTTCTGGTTTGAACTCAAATTGGTACACCTGACACACGTCAAGGTTAGATTATGTTGACCTAAGTCTGATTTTACAAGGACATCTGTTTCTCATTCTTTCACACTGTGATGCAAATTTGCTTCTGTATAGATAGAAATCTACTAAGTTTTCTTTGATAAAAGTAAGAATTAAGACCAAAAAAAAAAAAAAAAAAAAACACCCTCATAGTGATACAAGCATTAAGACTACTAGAATCCAGGGGCCCCTGGGTGGCTCAATCGGTTAAGCATCCGACTTCAGCTCAGGTCATGATCTCACAGTTCGTGGGTTCGAGCCCCACGTCGGGCTCTGTGCTGACAGCCAGCTCAGAGCCTGGAGCCTGTTTCAGATTCTGTGCCTCCGTCTCTCTCTGATCCTCCTCTGCTCATACTGTCTCTATCTCTCTCTCAAAAAAAATTAAATTTTAAAAAAAAAAAAGACTACTAGAATCCATCAAATTAAACGAGTTAGAGTTAATCCAGGGGCATTTCCTTCAAGGGCCACAAAGAGCCCATCGACTTGTTGGAAGCCCCTCCACTGCCATAGTCTTGTTGCAGCTGCTGCACTGTCTCACTTGGGTTATTTCTGTCACCCACCCACTGGTCTTGCTGCTTCTCTCCTGCTCCGTCTTCAGTCTGTTTTCACCATAGCCAGAGCATATTTGCCTCTGCCCAAAACAGTCCCCCTCTAGGGCTCTCAGAAGAAAAACCAAAGGCCTTATGGTGCCCTAAGAGACCCATTACTTACCTCTCTGACCGCATATCCTATTACCATCTCCCTTGCATATCCCAGTTCAGACCAGCCACACTTCTGCCTCAGGGCCTTTGCGCTTACTGATTACGCTGTCCGGAACTATCTTTTTAAATATATCTACGTAACTCTTTCCCAAACTTTTTTTTTTTTTAATGTTTTATTTATTTCTGAGAGAGAGAGACTCCGAAACAAGCTCCAGGCTCCGAGCCAGCACAGAGCCCAACGTGGGGCTCGAACCCACAGACCGTGAGGTAATGACTTGAGCCAAAGTCAGACACTTAACCAACTGAGCCACCCAGGGCACCCCTCCCAAACTTTCTTTGGGACTTCGTTTGTATGTCAGTTTCTCAGCGAGGCTTTCTCTGACTAATAGATTTCACTGTTTGTCTCCTCCTAGAATATTACTTTCTTGAGAAGGAGGGATTTTGTCTTGTTCATCTTGTGTTCACAGCACTTAGAATGATGCCTGACTTATTCAGAATGCATTGTATTTGTGGTTTGAATGAGTGAAGTTGGTTCCTTCCAGCTACATGATGAGACGTGAATTTAGATCTAAGGGCAATGTGGGACGTCTTCCTACCCATTCTGTTCTCATTCACCTCACACAAGAGAGCTAAAATGTTAGGAGAACATCTTTAAAATATTAACCACAGCTGTGAGCCATTGAAAGCATTCTACACAGTGAGTTGGGAAATGCCAGCTAATTGTTGCTTTGTAAGGCACATGGGAGAATAACCCAGCACCATTAGGTCCCCTGGGTGCTAGCGCCTGGGGCGTAGGAGGGAGGAGCAGTATCGGGCCTCCTGGAGTCTTCACACTTTCTTGCCGTGGGCCCTTTCCTTGTGGCGGTGTCCCCCTCAGAGTCTCTCGTGCCCCCTCCTCCAAGGACCAGGCTTTGGGTGTTTGTGTGCACGCGGGTGTGTATGTGTATTTGTTTGCCAGTGCTGTCTCATCGACGACTTCCTTTGGCCACAATTTATGTTTTCCTTTTTGTTTACGGCGTTTCTTAGTAACTCACTGCCACAAGCCCTCTGCGCACAGTTGCTACCCAAACGTATCTTGAACTTTGTGCTATTTCTCTTTTAGTATCTTAAGACTTATTGTGGCTGTGGAAGTCTAGGAGACCGTAATGTCACAGAAGTGACTGTAGACAGCGCCCATGTGATCATCATCCTCACGGGGGTGGGAGGACAGAGCCCAGTCAGGGGAGCCGTCTGTCCTACCTGGCAGAGTGAGTCCTGTTCGGTGATGGATGCAACAGTTCCTAACAGCCCAAAGCCATCCTCCCTTCGATAAACTATCTCTCGAATATCCACGCTTGTGGAATGTGCTAATAAAATGAGCACAGCACCCACCTGCATGGAGCTTCTCAGACTTTAATGAGAGGAATAAGCATAATCACATCAGTGTGGAATTCTGTATTGCGATAAATGCTACCGATGTAAAGCTGTGGAAGCTTAAAATAGGGGCATTTGTCCTGGCCTTGGGGTCAGGTCACATGCGAGCCCAGACCTGCAGGTTACTAGGCATATGTGTTCTCTGCCGGGTGGGGGGAAGGGGTAGGATTCTGTGCATTAATTTCTAGGCAGAGGAAACGAGGTGTATTAAATCTGAGGCGTTGAGGGGTTTTGTGCATTCAAGAGAGTGAAAGGAGACCAGCATGGCTGAAGTGGGTGAGGATGACAGGGAGGTGGTGCTGGAGGAGGCCGGGGAGGTCAGCAGGGCCAGACGGGGTCTTGGAGTCAACTTGCCGCTCTTTACCCCAAGCCCAGTGTGCAGCACTAAAGGGGTTTAAGTAGGGCTGAGCTATGACCTATTTTCTCTTTGGAGGTATACTCTGGACACAGGGTGGATGATGGACTGGAAGGGAGAGAGTAGAGGTGGGAAAATACCTTGTGTTTGTCTAGGAGAATAGGATAGAGCCAGGATAGTGGTGGTACGGGAGCGAGGAACACTTGTCTGCGGGGAGAATGTTGGAGGCCTTTGGACCGAGATTGTGACTGCTCTGGTACGCTCACGGAACAATCTTCGGTTAATTTGGCTTGATCTTAACCTACCTGTAAGGTGCCTGTACCTGGGTTTTCAGGAAATGCTCATTGACTAGAGAGATGTGAATATATTAATCAAGCTGGATGGAACAGGTGTCCAGACCATCTGGCAATTATGCTTTTCATTGTAAGTGAATATAAAGGCAGTATAGCTTTATATATCAATCTCTTAGAGCTTTGTGGTAGCATGAATCAGTACCAGGAAACATAATTGTCTCTGGAATCTTAGATAAACTTTTGGAGCCAAGAGATTTGAAAGACGTGCTGAATTACCTGTCAGTCCTGAATTCCCCGAGGTAAATGTCACCGGGTGGAGACTCTCTGAACAGCTACTTTTACTTGGCAGTGCTGTCTGTTTTGATGAATGCTTTTCCATTGTACTTTTTAAAAATTTTAAGTGAACCTTTGATAGCTATATCCACCAATTGTTTCTGTCTTTAGAATCACAATTATTCCACCCATTGCGGAAAGGTGCCACCTAAAAAGAGAACTTTAGAGAGAATTTGATTGTTTAAAAGGCATATTAAATGTAGAAGTGTTCAGAGCCAAGGAGAACCTTGTTCTAAATCGTTTCCCCATGCACCTAACTTTTTATTACGGCATGTTGATTTTCTCTGAAACTTAAAGCTTTTGTTTTTCCAATCTTCCGTTCTCTAGACTTCTGATGCTACTTGTTTGAATGATTCCACCTAGGATCTCCGGGAAGTCAGGCAGCTGCGATAATTGACTAAGGTTTAACGAAGCCCTTTGGGAGCTCCTCATGTCACAGGATGGTATAAAACACATGTGCGCATTTTTGACTATATTTTCCTCATCTTTTTCAGGAGAAAAATGGAAGAAACAGAGGTACTTTTAGATGGAGCAGAACGAGCCACTGAACAGGTAGATAACCACAAATAGCAGGGGTGTGTATACATCAGCTGGATGAATTGGTATTTGTGAAGTCCTTACTAGACGACCCGGCACATCGTCAATACTGTATGTAACGGTTTGCTCTGAGGAAGTTCTTTTAAATGTAACTGAGCCCAAAGCAAATCAGTCGTACAACCAGAAAGTACCCAACAAAAGCAAGCCTTTGCTCCTAAAGCAACTGAGAACCTCATTGGTAAATTCTTTTTTTTTTTTTAAATCGTTGGTAAATTCTGACATGGTCTCCTTGTGACCTGTCATGATGGCCCGAGAAACTTACCATCTTAATCTTTGAACACCCAGAGCATTTGAACATACTTTGAGTTTTGAGTTTGAGTGTTCATTCATGGTGACCTGTGAAGTGTCAGATTCGTTTCACTTTTGAAACAAAACAAGCTTTTAAAACATTCTTGAAGGAGCAGTTTGTTATCATTTGGGGAATGGGATCGTGAAATTTGAACTGACCCCTTCTCGTCCCCTCTGCCCAGCTTTCTGGATATGTACAGCTCCTGCCTTCTTGCCCGCTGTGGGGAGACCTGGGTGTCCTGGAGCTCTACAATCCCGCCTCGCCTCACCAGCTCCTCTGTCCCTCCCCTCCCCCCCCTCCACAGGTCAGCTCTGTTTGGGACCGGAAAGAAACGCTGGCAGAGGGGCCCACGGTCTTATTGGGCAGAGAGAGACATTTCTTTAGGTGGCCTTCATATTGCACCTCCTCTCCCCCAGCCCCAGCTTCTGTTTTGCAATTTCCATAGTTTACTTTTTGTTTTTTATTTTTATTTATAAAAAAAATTTTTTTATTTCTGAGAGAGAGAGGGAGAGAGAGAGAGAGGGACACAGTGTGAGAAGGAGAGGATCAGAGAGAGAGGGAGATACAGAATCTGAAACAGGCTCCAGGCTCTGAGCCGGCTGTCACAGAGCCTGAAGTGGGGCTCAAACCCACCACCTGTGAGATAATGACCTGAGCCGAAGTCGGACACTTATCCGACTGAGCAACCCAGGCGCCCCTGTTTTTAATTTTTAATGCTTATTTATTTTTGAGAGAGAAAGAGACAGACTGTGAGTAGAGGGAGGATGGACAGAGAGAGAGGGAGACACAGAATCCGAAGCAGGCTCCAGGCCCCAGGCTGTCAGCACAGAGCCCAATGCAGGGCTCCAAACTCATAACCATGAGATCACGACCTGAGTGGAAGTTGGATGCTTAACCGACTGAGCCCCCCGCAGGCACCTTGTAGTTTACTCTAAATCCTCCGTCGTTTTCTGTTTTGTCACGTCTCCCTTCTGCGGATTTTGGATATCACCTTTGGAAGTTAACTTTTCTGTTGGGAGATGTTCCAGGTGACACTGTTAACTTGAGAGAGGCGGGCGCTGGTGAGGCACTCGGTATGTCCGTGGCTTTCAGACCTTTGCGTCAGAAGCCCACAGGGAGGACCACGCACTGCACGAGGAGCCGGTGCGCACCTTCATGCTGTGGGTGTACGGTTTCCCGAAGTCCTACCTTCGCTGTTTGTGAATTGTGATAGGATTTCCTAGTCTGTTGTGTTTGATCAGTTTCTCTTCCTTCTCGCTTCTTTTCTCTTTAACCCTTCTCATAACCTACAGCTGCTGGTCAGTGGCACTTTGACAGGCTCGCAGTCTTTTTAGGCGGTGGCAGGGGCACATGCTTTCTTCCGGGCTGTATTCTGTAGTAATTTGCACAGACCTCTTTTACCCCTACACACTCCTTCAGACTTGCCTTATTTTCGTTCTTTATGTGCAAAACTCTCTCCTTCCTTTTGTAACTAAGCTTCTGTTTCTATTTTCCACATACTACTCACTTCTCAGCTTTCTTTCTGTTTGAACTTTGACTTTCCTCTCCTGACCCATAGCCAAGAATCATTTTACCATTTTTAAAATTTTTTTATTTTATTTCTTTTTAGAGAGAGACAGACAGAGCATGAGCAGGGGAGGGTCAGAGACAGAGCGGGAGACACAGAAGCCAAAGCAGGCTCCAGGCTCTGAGGCATCAGCACAGAGCCCAGTGCGAGGCTCGAACCCACGAACTGTAAGATCATGACCTGAGTTAAGTCAGGCACTTAACCGACTGAGCCACCCAGGTGCCCCCCCCCCCCTTTATACTTTTTAAGTAATCCCTACATGGAGCTCGAATTCAACAACCCTGAGATCAAGAGACACACAATCCACCAATAGAGCCAGCCAGTCACCCCTCATTTTACCATTTTGAATGAAACAGATTCCTATGTACAATTAGATCTTGCATATTAAATGAAATTTTCAAAAAGTAACACTTATTTTTCATTAATTACTGTATTTGCTTAGATCCCCATATCCAGTTTTTCAGAAACCTAACTTTTCTGATGGTCTGATCTCACAATTCATGCCCTTGCATGGTCCAGGGGTCACAGAATTCTAGTAATGCGGGAGTCGTCTATACCCTGGTATCTTTGGTTGGTGTCATGGGTTACGGAGAGACACCTGCTGGCTCAAATGTAGTGTTGCATTGTTTTTCTATCCTGAAGTCTATCATAGTGTCATTTTTATGACCTTAAGCTTTCATAGTGCACAGGTAAGCTTTCGTATTGGAATGCACTGAAGTGATTCACTTAATCCCCTCAAGCGTTTTATAGGATTTCCAGCTCAACATATAATGAACTGAAAAGTATCGATATCATATCACCCAGTCAAGAAGCTGATACCTAATAGGGAGAAAGATTTCATGGCCAAACTAGATTCCTTCCTTTCCTATCTTAATGGGACCACAAACTGATAGTTTACTAAAGCACCTAGTAAGCGGAGATCCATTTAAAACTTTTGGAAATGATAATTCACTTTTCCCAGATAGTTAACCTAAGTTGTACGTGATTTAGGTTTGCAGCTTGGTTTGTTATAGGAGCAGTACATTTGGTTCTAGTTATAAGACTTGTGCTGGAACACAGGAATCTAAAATCTATTGTTCGTTTATTTTGAAGCTCTAATTGGAATATTGTAGTGACTTCTGTGCAATGCTTATATTAGCACAATTTCCGTTCATTTCAGAGGCAAGTTTATTTATGATCATAATTATATACACCTCGGATTACTCAGTGCAAACAACAGAATTTAAAGATTATATAATGTGCAAAGTGGTCCTTTTAAACAGAACTGATATTCACCGATCTTTGAATATTGTAGCCAATAAATGAAGCAGCGTGCTCCAGTTTTCTGTCCTTGTTTGCTTCTGGTACACAGTCCATGCCTGGAAGCCAGTAAAAAACCACACCAAAATTTGTATGTCAGCCCCCTTAGGCAGGAACTTTGAAGAGTGTACAGGAGAGGGAGCTGAAACCTTAGCCCACCATCGCTCCACCTCCTAGCAGTTGTCTCTTCTCCCTTCCGTTTCAGAAGATAAACTGTCATCGAACAAGATCATACCGGCTTCAGGGAATGGCAGAAAAGGATGGTATTAATGGTTCAAGGGGACAAATTATGGCAGAAATCTATAAATAGTATTTGGGAATACCAAATACTATGTTTGAGTTTAACAGCCCAAGACAAGAAGAACAAAATGTATTTTTTAAAATATTTCATACTTGCCTAATTTTTTCTGGCCATCTTAATGCCTGTTCTGAGGGGAAAACCCAAAAAGAAAATAGCAACCATATTTCATTTTATCAAGGCACCTAGATTGATCATGAAAAGTGGGAGAAGTCACATCGGATAGACAAGCACTTCCTCTAAAAGTGTGAATAGAAGAAACAGGAGACCGTAAACAACAAGATAGGAAACAAAGTGTGTTATGGGTTGAGTTTTGAACTTCAGTGCCTAGGTTAGGTTATTTGATTGTCATGAAATAAGGTAAGTGAAGCGCTTGGTTCACTAGTAAGTGCTCAGTGTGTAGCGGCCACTGCTGTTGCCATGTACGAAGACACTCAGTGGCAGCCTCCGTAGATTGTTTTCGTTGTGTTTCTTACAGGTAGGGATGGATTTGTTTTGATCTAGCCTATATTTTTTTGTGACAGTCCGTATGGTAAAGGAAACAATAATGTTAATAGCATTTATTATTTCCTGTGTGCTAAGCCTTGGGTGAAAAGCAGGAAGGAGCGCACTCCTGCCATCTCAGTTTCACACTCTGCATGTCACAAGAAGGCTTAGTTAGGCTAGCATGTGAAAGAACTCAGCTCCCTGGCCCCTGTTGGAAATCCGCACTAGCCAGTGTCATCAGAACCATTACTGGTTGGCTCTGAAAAAGTTGAAAAATAAAAAAAAAAAAAAAAAAAAAAAAAAAAAAAAAAGCTTTTTGTTTTACATTGTTCATTAGCTGTGATAGCCAGAAGGGAAAATACCAGTTATTAAAAGGAAAGTGGGGTTTAATAATAGAATTAAAAAGTAAGTCAGATTTGTCTAAGTTTGGAGCATTGCTTTTTAAAGTAAATATTTGCAGTTTACAGTCTACTGTTTAGTCCTTGGGAATAGACTGTATAATGTTTTTTTTGTTTGTTTTTTTTTAAGAATTAAAAGTAGCATTCTCTTTCAAAATGTGTGTAATCAGAATATCCTGCTATTTTCAGATGTACCCAGTATATCTTGCTATTTCAATAAGAAATGGCCCTTTCAAGGCAGACAGATTCCAAAGGATTTCAGTATTTGGGGTAGGTCTACATCAGTAATTGGAAGACAATAAATCTAGGACCTCTGATTGAAGAGGCAAAGAAATACGTATCTATAACCAATTTTCAGTTTACCACCTTAATGGGAAGAAGCAATAGCATGAGTAATCAAAAATTTCCTTTTTGCAATAACTTATTATCTTGTTTTGTTTTTGCGTTGGGGTTCTTTGTTTCCTGGAGTCCAGAGGAACTGGCAGTGGATTGAGAAGTGGCTCAGTATTGTATGTATTTGTGAAAGCAAGGACTATCCCAGTAACTTAAAAATATGTTGCAGATACTGCCAGATGTTAGAATTAATGCACTGGGAGTTTATTACACTTCCTGTTCATT